CCTGAGCAGCACGCGCCTGGCTGGGGCCGTGCTGAGGACCCGGGAGGGAGAACGGCTTCTCTCCATTCCTCAATACAGCTTTTTTTTTTTCTTTCTTCTTCTTCTCTCTCTTTTGTCTTCCTTGTAAATGTTTGGGGGTTTTTGTGTGTGTGTTCCACAGAATCAGATAAAAGGTTAAATAAATCGTAAACCTCTCCCAGAGCTGAGCTGGTGTCATTCATGGCTGGGCAGGAAGCACCGTCAGCACCTCTGTAACAGAGGCTTGGGGGGTGGGGAGGGGGGCGGGGGGAGTGGATTAGCAGGAGGCCCCAGGGTGCCATTTCTGGGGGCTGCAGCTCCAGCTGAGGGGAAGCAGAACAGAGCTGCCACTGTGAGAAAGTAAGAAAGTTTATTTAAAAACAAATCAAAAGCTCAATTCATAATTTAGTAGCATAAGTTATTAATCCAGCTGACAGCAAACCAGGCTGACTGCGTCATCGCTGCCTAACGAAGCCGTTAGAGCTGCCAGTAATAAATAGGACCAGTATTTGACAGCTGAGCAGAACCTTCTCCTGGGCAGCCTTTGGCAATGTGATTATGGAAGTGGCTGCCACAGGCAACACGGAAGCAAAACCAGGCACCAGACAAATCTTAACAAGAACAGGGACGCGGCGTGCAGCCAGGTGAGGCTGGCTGGGCCAGGGCAGTCCCAGCCATGGGCAGGGGCTCCTCAGGCTCGGCAGGAGCACATGGGGAGATGAGGCTTGGTCCTCAAAACCACACTGCGGGGCAAGGGAAAACAAAGGGGACAGCCCCTGGCACTCAGCACCTTCTCCTCAGGGAAGCTGAGCCATGGTGGCCTTGGGATGTGACTGGTCCCAGTGGGAGTGGGGAGCCTGGAGATTCTTGGGGCCTGGGGATTCCTGGGGAGGTAGGTGCTCAGCAGCCCTCTCCTGGCCCTGAGCAGGGGTGCAGTGGGGGCCCCGGCTTCCGCCCTGAGACTAGGAACATCCCCAGCTCCCAACAGCTCCCAACTCCCCATCCCCCGGCTTGGGGGCCGGATGCAGCAGGGAAGGGGGGTGGTTTCCTCTGCAGTTTGGGCTCAAACATGTGAGTCCTGTTAAGTGCTGGATGTGGCCACTTCCCCAGGAGCAGCTCCAGGAGGGGCCACAGGGCCCAGCCTTCTCCCTGCTGGGGCTGGCACCAGCCCAGGAGGGGATTTTTGTGCCCTGGGTGCTAAAGCCGGGCCCTGGCTCTGTTCTTCCTTGTTTCTGCTCTAGGAGATGCAAAAGACCTGGGGCGGGATGAGGAGTGGAGAGGCTGGGGAAGCTCCTGCCTTCCTACCCCATGCAAGAGGCAGGCGAGAGAGCTGGAACTGCACCCAGGATGAGCGCAGCCTGGCTAGGGCCACGGGGAGAGAGTGGCGGTGAGGGGTGGGCCAGAAGAGGGGCAGCTGGCAGCACATGGCCTGCCGGGGATGGGGGCGGGGGGATGATCTTACACATCTTGTCCAGGCCAAATGCAGCTTTCCAGCCCAGCTCACGCTCGGCCAGCGCTGGGTTGGCGTAGCAGGAGGCCACGTCCCCCTCCCGCCGGCCTGTGATCTTGTACTTGATCTGCAGGGAAAGCAGCACCATGGGGTCTGGGGGCTCCTGGCTCTCAGCAGAGGGGACTCATCTGAGACCCGGGAGCTGAGGGAGCAGTGCCAGTGGCACAAGGGCTGCCATGGTCCTGGTGGCTTGGGGTGGCGAGGTGGGGGGCTGTGGGAGCAGCTGGCTCTGTGCCCATGGCCCTGCAGGCTGCGGATCAGACCTTACCTCCCTCCCTGAGGCTTTCTCCATGGCCCGGACCATCTGCAGGACAGAGTAGCCGGTGCCTGTGCCCAGATTGTAGATCTGGGAGGAGGATAAGGGACATGGGTCAGCTTCTTTTGCAGGGGAAGAAGGGCCAGGCCCTCTTTAGCTTCCCCAGGGCTGCAAGAGCCTGGCCCTGGTCCAGCCCCATAGCCCTGACCCCACCCCAGACAGACAGCCCTCTTGGTACCTTGCAGCCGCAGTTCTCCTTGAGCTTCTTCAAAGCAGCGATATGGCCCTTGGCCAAATCCACGACATGGATGTAATCCCTGACACCTGCAGGGACACAGAAGGTGAGTGCAAAGCCTTCTTGCTTGGGGCACAGCTGGGCTGGGGAGCTGTAATGGCTGCCTGGGGGGACAGGGTGTCTCTGCTGCAGCCATTCTACAACGTACCTGTTCCATCGTCTGTCCCATAGTCATTCCCAAACACATTCAGGAATTCCCGGCGCCCCACTGCCACCTGCACAGAGGGAGAAGCCCGTGAGAGCCCCGTCAGCCTGTGCCCCACACAGGCACCATGAGCCTGGGGCTGCAGCAGGGCAGTACCTGCGCCACATAGGGCATGAGGTTGTTTGGGATCCCCTGAGGATCTTCTCCGATCATGCCTGATTCATGGGCACCAATGGGGTTGAAATAACGCAGGAGAACGGCGTTCCAGTCCTGGGGAGACACACAAATGTGGCTGCCTGGGGAGGGTGCAGTGCAGTGCTGCCTGGTCCCCCCAGCACACTCCAGCGGGAAAAGACCTCGGTTCCCAGCCTTGCATGCCTTGGGGCAGCTCCTCACCCTCTCTGCTTTGCAGAGATCTTGAATCATCTCCTCAATGAAGTACTTGGATTTGCCATAGGGGTTGGTGCAGCCTCCAACAGGGTGGTTCTCATCCAGGGGCAGGTACTTGGGGTCTCCGTAGACAGTGGCAGAGCTGCTGAACACGATGTTCCTCACGCTGTGGGCTTTCATGGTCTGGGGAGCAGGGACCAGCCGCCACTGAGACAGCAAGCTCCGTGCCCTCCAGCTCAGCTGCGCGGCTCAGCTCTCTGCAGGCGGCAGCTCCCACCATGCAGGCACCATTACACCCCAGGACAGGGCCTGGGCATGGGGAGCACCGTAGAGACTAGGCTGCCAGCCAGCATAGCCACCCCAGAGCAGGATCACACCCAGCACCAGTCACCCAGCTCCCATGCAGCCCCGAGCACCACATGCTGCCTCCTGGCTCCACTCACCTCCAGCAGGCAGATGGTCCCAGTAAGGTTCACCCTGTAGTACTCCAGGGGCTTCTGCACAGACTCTCCCACTGCCTTCAGCCCCGCAAAGTGCATCACGGCTGAAAAATGGTGCTGCAGGGGGAGAAAAAGCTTGGCGTTAGCATCACAGCAATAGGAGATAGAGGCTCCAGGCAGAAACCAGTCAGAAGCCTCCCCAGCAGTTTCACTTAGCCAGCCCATGTGGTCTCCATGGCCCAGAGGAACATTTGCTGGTCACAGTATTTCCTCAGCGCCAGCCCATGTGGTCTCCATGGCCCAGAGGAACAAATATTTGCTGGTCACAGTATTTCCTCAGCACTGTCCTTCCCGCTCAGCTCCTGCCCAGTCCACATCTCCCGCCTGGCTCCCACCCCCAGCATGAACCCCTCTCATACCCTCAGAGCCCAGGAGGCCACCTTGGGGCACTGCAGCTCTTGCTCTCACCTTACTGAAGAGCTCCTGCAGTGCTTCCTTGTCAGTGATATCCAGCTCCTGGAAGAGGATGGGCTGGCGCACAATCTGCTGCACGCGCCGGAGGCTCTCAGGGAGTGCATCTGCCCCTGGGGAGATGGAAGGGGATGAGGCACTGGGATAGCAGGATGTCCTGGCACAGGCTGAGAGTGGCTGAGCCCCTTGTATGGGGAGGGATGAAGGCTCTCCATACCTCGGATGGCATTGTGAAAGTTGTCTATGACCACGGGGATGTAGCCAGCCTCCACCAGCTCCAGCACACAGTGACTGCCGATGTAGCCAGCTCCGCCGGTCACCAGGATCTTCTCTGCCATGGTTCCCTGGGGGAGGAAAGGCCCTTCAGCACAGCGCACAGTGCAAGGCAGTCTAGGGTGGGCACAACAGCCGGGGGCCCTAGGAGGGAAGGGGCAGGCAGGACTTGGATACTGTCACATCAGCTCTGCCCCTAGGCACTCCCTGTGCTTGGCCTGGCCAGCACCGACATCTGGAGAGGAACAGGCTGGGCAGGTTGTAGCACACCCTGCTGACATGGCTCACACCTCCCGGACAGGGAGGGTTTATCTGACACTTGCCACATACCAGGGAAAAACCCTTGTTCTTCCTGGTAAATCCAGTTAAGATCCTGGTGCCTCCTGTATCCTACAGCCCAAATCCCGCAGGCTAATTCACCCCTAAGCACAAGGGCAGGGAGTCATCTAACGGTATTAACTTGGGTGGCCTCCTTCAGGGGGAATCAGCTCTGCCTTCTTCCCCCCATTCCCCATTTATTTCCGCAGCTCTGAAATCCCCTCTCTAAGACAGCCCCAGTGCTCTCTCCAGCCTCCCTTCCCTTGCCCAGTGCTGGCCCCGTTCCACGCCTGCTTCCCAGGAAGGTGGGCATCAGATCACTGCAGACTACAGGGGCCTTTGCTGGCACACACAGAGCGGAAAGCTGGACGCTAACCTGCAGGAAAGCGCCTGTCCCTCAGAACCGAGCAGCAGCTCCCACCCAGTGGGTAGGAGGGAGAATCCACTTTATCGCCAAGGCATGCAGAGGCAGCGCAGGGAAAAGTTTCTACCCTGGGTGGCTTTAGTCACTCTCAGAGCTGCATCTCAGGCTGAAAACCAAACGGAAGCCCCTGAACTGCCCTGTTATCGGCCCCAGGGCTGCTCTAGCAGCCAGCCT